AACTGCCCGGCCCTGAGCGGGGGACCTGCAGGAGCTGGGAAAGGACACACATGTGTCCCGAGCACAGCACTGATCTCGGGGGGCATCACACTCCCGAGTCACTGGTGGGGACACGGAGCTCCAGGACAGGGTTGTCCTCACTGCAGACATGCAGAGCCAGTGCAGACCCGCCCACCCTAAGGCCAGGCCCCGGTAGCCAGCCTGACCATCTCTGCAGTGGAAGGCCGCCTGGCCAGACACGATGGCGGTGGTGCCCAAGTCATCGTGGCAGCTGCCAGGCCGTCCCCTGGCACCCTGGCCCCTCCCTGGTCAGGCCAGCTGGCCCAGAGGGCGGCCCAAAGCTCACTGTCACCTGTCACCTTAAACAGCTACCCTGCAGCACCTACACTTTGCACCTCTTTCCTTTCAGAAACACCAAAAGCAATAAATGGTCTAAGGAAAATTTTAAAGCTCTCCGGACAAAGCTGAAACTGTTTTAGAGATTAAAACTCACACTTATGAACATAACAAATAATGCAGAAATAAAAATGTAAGTAAATTTTATAAACTCACACAGATACACACCGTCACAAGCCTCACACTGGCCTGTCCCGGCTGATCCTCGGTCTCTGACAGGAGGCCCTAAGGACCATATTCAAAATGGCCACCTCCAAGGACCGAAAGTGGCAAAGGCCAGAAACTGGGCCTTTCGTCATGGCTATTGATCATCTCTATTTCAGACAATGGCTTGTGTGTGCTAAGGAACCTAAAATGCTCACCCTCAACGCCAGCTTTTCTAGAAGGGGATCACGGCCCACCTTCAGTGGCAACAGTGGCGGAGCACACAGACCCGAAACGTCCAACTCTCACGGTGAAACCTTCAGTCCTGCAGGCTCCACAGTCAACTGGTCTACCCTGTAGAGCTTAACACCGAGTGCCCCTGGGAGCAAGCCTTTTATGTCCAGGGTAGACTTTAACAGCCAAGTAATTAAACACGGGACTAAAGGCTTATAATTAAAACGCTGACAAACCCGCGCAGGAGCAGCACAAGGAGGCCACTGTAATATTTTTACAATTCTTTTTTATACATAATGTATGATCCGCCCGCTCGGGTTTCCTCTATGTTCTTGGCCTGTGAAATAATTTACATTAATAAATAATTTATTACCATAACTCCTAAAGTAATTATGGGTTTCCATCCAATTTCTTTTCTTTTTTTTTTTTTTTAAGCGTGTGAATTGTTTTGTTTGCTGTCCATTGACTTGTATTTACAAGACTTTTCCTGGAGGCCTTTTGGAAATAACTCGTGTTAACATTCACTTTCTCACGTATCGTTTCATTTCCAGGTCTTGCCTCAGTGGTGAGAAAGGCGTGTGTGGCGGCCACTGTCCTGTGAGACAGAGCTCATTTAGGGGACACGGCTAGCCAGGGGTGTTGAAGGGGGCCTGTTTCACCCCATTTGCCCTGTTTCACTAAAGAGGACTGAACTCGTACTTGGGGTCAGTGTGAACAAGGGTCACCCACAGCAAACAAGGGAGGGCTGCAGAGAGCAGGGCTCGGCCAACCTGCCTCTCCCAACACAGCACCATCCTCCAGCCGCTGCAGCCCCTCTGTGCCCACCAGAGATCGCCGCTGGAGGCAGGCCCAGCTGCCCAGCTGGTCCAGCTGCCCAAGGCCCGAGCCACACCCACGACACTGCCACCTGTCCCGGGTTTCCAGGGTCAAGAACACAAGCCGGTGGTGTACATGGCTCTGACCCGGAGAGCTGCTTGCAGAGGAAATTCTGGGCCAGCACAGGTGCGCTGGGGATGGACAGCCTGGGAGGACAGAGGGAAGCCGAGAGGCAAAATGTCGCCGTGGGGAGGAGGAGCCCCCGGCGATTGCTGGCTGGCTCCCGGGGCGAGCCCGCAGCCTGGACAGCGGCTTGGCTCCAGCCGCCCTGTCGCTCGCATCCACACCTCAGGCCGCTGTGTTCTTCCCCACTCTGGGGAAGTACAAAGCCACTTCTCTGTATCAAGTTTCTAAACTTGGGGAGCAGGGGAGACCACACTGGGGGGCCTGTGCTCACTCACATTGTGCGCTCCCTGGACTGACAGAGCAGGCATCTCCCCCAAGGGGGCAGAGAAGGACCAGCTACGGAGAAAGGATGGTTCTTTAAGGGGAAGCAGAGAGACCCTGCCCTCCCCAACCTAATGCGCTTGCCTGGACTTTCTGAAGAATATTAATGAAACTCGAACTCAGACTCGCTTCCAGCTAGTGCCTTGGCATGCGCGGAAACACCCCTAGTCATGGGCCTGCTGTCCCCAGTTCATAGGACGGTCCCGCTGATTAAGGCCAGAAAGTGCGTCCTTCATCTCCAGGAAACAGGCAGGGCTTCTGGCTATTACATGTATGATGTTTTATCTTTGCTGAGCACTGTCCAGCCCTAGAGGGCCCACGACCCTCTTGAAAGGTCCGGCTGGACCCACGGGCTGTTCTCTCCCCCGCTGTCGAAGAGCAGGCTCACCCAAGATACAGCTCCCACCCAAGGTGCGTCTAGCTCACAGCGCAGGGCTAGGCCACCTCTAGACTCGGGTTACGTGGGCTGAGCCAGCGGTACACACGCTCAGGAAGGCTGGAGTGCAGACCTTCCTGCCTCAGCAAGTGCGGGAGGGATGAGGCGGGAGAGGCAGCACCCTCTGGGTGCTGTGATCTTTCTGAATCCCACACACAACTGCATGCTGCGAGCTGAGGAATCGGGGCTCAGGAAGAGGACTGATGTGCCCACAGCCGAGGGCCCAGGGGAGGTGCATCAAGTGCATCCAAACCCCGGGAATTCATAGCTGCTCATCTTTCTCCTCCTCTGGACAGAAGTCCCTTGAGGGCAGGGGCTGCTTGAGTTCCCTCCCCGCGCCCGCCACACAGAGCAGCTCAGTGTGCGCTGGAGCAGGCCGCTGAAATGAGGTGACGGGAGCCACGGTGGTGCGCCTGAATCGAGGTGGGGCTGGCTGAGCAACAGAAAGGTGAGCACGGGAGAGAGTGAAGCAGAGATAGTCAAGGAGACTCTGCAGACATCCCAGCACCACTGCTCCGCTCTGCCTGGCGGTGCCCTGGCCCTGGCCTGCAAAGCAAGCGGGAGTTGGGCCATGAGTGAGGGCACCATTGGGAGAGGCCCCCTCCAGAACCCTCTGCAAACAGGAGCCTGGAGCAGCAGCAAGGGCCCTTCTGGAAGGCCGGGCTGCAGAGGGGCCTTTGATAGGAAGCAGGCCTCTGGGCTCCTCAGCTCAGACAGACTCTGTTCTCCCCACGTGTTCCCTGTTTGGGGCCCTGCCTTGGTCCCTAGTCCATTAGGGTGACTGTCCCTCCTACAGCCCCACCCAAAGGAAACCAAGGTGGTCCACTGGCTTGGGTGCAAGCTTCCCAGGTGCTCCCAGCCCTCTTCACCTACTGCTCAGGACCGGCTCACAGACAGCAGCTGGCGCGGTCCGCCCCACAAGCCAACCAGAGGCGCTGTCCTAACCGCCATTTCACAGATGAGGACACTGAGGCTAGAAAAACCGGGCAGTTCAGAGCGACCAAGCCCTAATACCACCCACCACCCGCCCACAAGGCCTGCACTTTGTCAGCCACCTGGTGCAAAAGGCAAGGAAGTCTAACGCCCAGTGACCAGACACAGAGACTCACACCTCCACACCCCCTTTATGAGCCGGCAGGCCAGAGCTGAAGTCGAGCTGTGTGGGGGCCGGGCGGGCTTCAGCGCTCTTTCTCCCGGGCCTGAGGAAGGAAGGCAGCCCCTGAAACACAACCATGAGTCTGACCCAGGAAGCAGGCGGTGAGCGGCCCTCGTGCCCCAGGCCTGGGTCGCTGAGGGTGTGCTGAAAGCCGTTAACCACCAAGGAGGTGTTCAGTCAAGCCCCACATGGGACAGGCCTCAGAAATGTGTCACACGGGTAAACCAAGGCCAGGTGAGTTCTCTGCTTCTACTTCCTCTGGGGAGCAGCTCAAGAGGAAGCCTGGGGCTCTCCCACGGCCGTGCAGTGAGAGGAGAAAACCGTCCTTCCCCAACACACGACCATCCCTCCAGGGGGGCCTCCTTAGGCCTCAGTTTCCCCTGCCTGCCCCCAAAGCCGCTGTGGAGTCAAGGAGAGCACACACACAAAAACCACACAGGGAAAGGGTTGAGAAAGAGGCCAGGGATGGCGACGTGGCCTCGCAGCCTCACTGGGTGCTGTCTCAGAAGGCTGGCTTCCACCTCCGCAGAGGTCTCTGCTCTGGCTGGCCAGCCCCAGAGGGCTGGAGAGAGAAGGAGTCACGAGAGAAGCGAGAGGAGCACCTGAAGCCAGCAGGGCCCCCAGCACAGGCGTCTGGCCGCACAGAGAGCAGTGGGCCGACCGCACAGGAACAGGACTCGCGACCGCCCTGAACGCATCAGCAGCAGGAGCTCCCAGTTCCCTCTGGGCTTTCCAGCCCACCCCCCTGAGGGATAAGCCGAAAGGCAGAGAAGGACTCAGGCTGTCACTGCTCACCACACAGCCAATGAAACTGCTCTTCTACCCAACCACCAAGAACTAGTCAAACCGCAGGCCGGCCCCCACACCGTGCAGCGGGACGGGCTCGTGGGAATGCCGGGAGGGGCCGCTGTTAGCTGGAGGGGAGGACAGTCCTGCTGCTGTGTGAAAGATGCAAAAAACTCTATTTTTGTATCTCATCATATGTCCATTTGGACTTGGCGATGTGAAAATGCAAACAGCATAAAAATACACCAAAATATTAACAGCAGTTTACATCGGGCACTGGGGCCGTGACAGGTTTTTACTTTCCACCGGGATGCATTTCCTTAATTAACAACATGACCACGATCATGTAATCCTCAGACAGCAACGCTCCCTCTACAGCTGGGAACGGCCTCCAGAAGCCGACGCCAGCGCGTCCCGGGACCTTGTGCGGGGGCCGTGTCCACCGAGTGCTTCCAAGGCTCACCTGCAGGACCAGGCCCGGGGGACGACGAGAGAAGACCGGCTCGTGCCACCTCGGCTACTCACCCATAATTCCACAAGAGAAAAGTGTCGGTCCTTGACTCATCTTCTTTGGCGTGTGCTGCAAACAACCAGAAAAGCTTTTCACTCTTCGAGTCATAAAAGCACCTTTGCACATGACCCCGCGCTGACCCCTCGTACCGTCACAATGAATGGGGGGGCTGCCCGCTGCCAGCGTGAGTCAGGGGAGGGCGAGAGTGGCCAGAGACGACATCTGCCCAAGGCCGGGCAGGGACTCCCGGGTCTCTAGTGAGTTATGGGGTCCGTCAAGTCAACAGGCTTCAAGAGCACATGAGAGCCCCGGGGTGTCTGTGAGAAATCCCCCCCAGAGTGGCGTGGAGGGCGAGGGGAGAGGTGTGGGGTGAGCAGCCGGCTGGCCCAGGCCGAGGAGGGTGTCAGGCAGCAGAAGTGCCGGGAAGGGCAGCCCCGCCAGGCCCCGCCCTGGACACGAGGAGCAGCTCTCCTCCCCGGCGCAGCCCGAGGCCTCCTCTCTGAACTGAAACAGAAACGCAGGTGTGTGTGGGCTCCACGTCACAGCTCTGGCTCTGAACGCCTTGGCGCCACCTTTCCACAACAGCTTCCCTTTCCACTGCAAGCTTTCTACATCTCCCCGCGGGCCTCAGAGAGGAACGCTATGGCCGCAGGGTAGAAAACAGGCGAGCAAGCCTCTAGGAACTCCAGGTCCAGGCATCAGCTCCGCAGTAACCTGGCACAGAACGTCCGGGCTTCCCGGTGCAGGGGAGGTTGGTGGGGAGGAGGAGTCTGTCTGTCCAGGCCGCAGGAAGAAGGGTTTGCCTTAAGCACTTCAAAAGATCCCAGTCAGTCAGTCAACAAACACGGCCTGGTAATTATTTACGCGCAGGCTGTGCTAACAGTTAATCTCATGCTAGTGAAGAAGTTCTCGGCCCCAGAGGAGCGAGCCTGCCAGAAGACGCCACATCTGAGAGGCACCCCGGGCGACAGTCACCCAAAGCATCTAGGCAAGAAGTGGGCGGGAACCCAGCCCTGGCTCTCTGAGGGCTGGGAGGGTGAGGGTGGGGCTACTCAGGAACACCTGGGCCACCCAGATAAGAGGGTGGGAACGCCTGGCACCCGCTCTTCACACCCCTGCCCCAGCTGCCCAATTTGGGGAACTTTGCCCTCGGTCTGCTCTGTGTCCTTCAGGAGGGGGATCCATCCTGCTAAGGGTCCATCCTGACCATCCGGGGACTCAGAGGCTCCCATTTCATGGAGGACAGACACACAGACAAGCCGTCACACTGAGGGGAGAGTGGGGCCAGAGCAGGGATGGCCCAGGCATGGGTGCGGAGCTGCTGGTTTCTGGTCTGGAAGGATCAGAGGAGCTGAGGAAGGGAGGAGGGGAGGCTGTGCTCTCCAGCCCCGCCTCCGCAACTTAAAACAATCCTTACATTATCAGGAGTCTGATTCCACAGAGACTTAACCCCCCAATCTACAGCCATCAGGGAAAGATCTGGAAAGTGCTCGAGACACAGCATCTGCCTCCCTCTAGCTGACTCCAGCAGCACAGCGGAACAAGCACACAATACACAAGGACAAGCACACATCGTGGAATGGTGACCAACACCAGCCAGCCTGGCCCGCATGATGCAGCCCAGGGAGCCTCCCCGAGAGAGAGGACGGGCCTATCATGGCTAGGGGCTGGCCCCCCGGGGGGCAATTCCCAACCATGCAGGGGCCCTGCACCCAGCACACACACACAGGGTAACCACAGCCCCCAGGCTGGGAGATGGGGGGCAAAGCTACCAAGCCCACATAGACCCCAACCGGCAGGGGAGCAGGAGAGAATGGTAGAGGTTCACCTGCACCTTGGGGCGCAAGGGCCTCTGCGGAGGGCCTGGGGTTACAGACAGATGGGGGACGTGGCCAGGGGTATCTGCTCATTCACCTTTCCTCCCACCAACCCGGGGCTCCCCAGGACCCCCAGGAGAGATGGAGATGCAGGGTTCCGTCCACCAAGAGAAGCACACGAGCTGCCCAGGCCCTCCCCACCCCGTCACGCGGCCCTGGCTCGGTGGGGATTTATCAGCGTTCTGCAGACCCACTGCCTGGGTGCAGGACGCACACTCGGGAGGCGATGCTTCCACTGCCCCCAACACCCTGCCCTGAAAGACCGACAGGCATCCTGGTTGGCCGCTGCCTGTGCCAGGGCCCTCTGCATTCTCCATCCACAGCCCAGCAGGCCCCTCGTCCTTCCCTCACCACCGCCAGCAACTGCCCAGAGCAAGCAGATCAAGACCCAACAGCCCCTGTCCAGGAGATGAGCCTGGAGCCTCCCAGCCTCCGGTTGCCCATCCCGTCCTCCCTCAGGCAGCTGGTCGCGAGGCCCACTTGCTGCCACCTCTGGGTCTCTGCGGGTCTCATCCCCGCCGCGAGGCCGCCTCAGTCTGCTTCCCGGTCTGCCCCACCCCCGAGATTGCCTGTCTGCCCCTCGTGGCGCCACGTGTTCACCGTCTGCGCCTCGCCCATCAGCCCTTTGGTTTCTGTTTATTCTCTGCTGCCCCCTAAGAACACAGCCCCTGGAGCTGCCGTCTCGTCCACACACTCCAGCACAGAGCTGGCACACGTGACTTGTGCCGACCCACTGCTCGGGCGCTGTCAGCCACGCCTGCCCTGCTCCCGCTGCTGCACCCGGTGACGGGGGCCGGGGGGGCAGCGGGCAAGGCCAGTGGAAAGGGGTTCACTGGGTGGGTCACCAGCCTCAAGCCAAGTCTAGAGTCAATGGAAGGAGAGAGTGGGGGGGACGCCCTGCAGGCCCAGGTGCCTCTCCAGGCCACCGACTCTGCACCCAAAGGCCCACAGGCTGAGGAGAGCGCACACTGAGGCTTTCCCGACCTGAAGGAACACCTCTCCATGTCCCCCATTCTAGGCAAGCCCCACTTTGATCCCCACACTGGGCATGGGAAACTGCGTGGCCTGGAGGTACACTCCCTCTTCTGTCATCAGCACCCCAGTTTTGCACAGGGACTCCTCGGCTCCTTCTCTGCATGGCATCTGCCGAGATCATGTGAAGATCTTCATAGATCTCCACGGGGTGGGCACAGGACACCCCTCTTCCAGGCTCTGACTCCTGGGGGTCCCCGGGTGCTTCACCTAGCAGGGAGACCCCCAACCTGCCACTGATGCCTGTTTTCAGAGTCCTCCGAGCTACCACGTCCCTGCCCTTACTGGGGCCTCACTCTCTCTGGGCCAGCTTCTTCCGCTATGTCCCATCACCCCAGGGAACCCCTGGTGTAGGTGAGCTGGAGTGTCCACTGCTTACAGCAGGGGAGCCCTGCCCAGTCCCGTGACAGACTTCGAGATGGGATCAGACCCCCATTTTGCTTCTTGAGCCCATCTGCGAGGCAGGGCTGGCGGTGGGCCGGGACCCCAGCAGCTTCCCACTGTCAGGCCCCAGGCACACTTCCTGGCAGGAGCTGGCTGGGGCCATTTTATTCCCAGACCACCAGCCCTCGTCACGTCTGCCGCCTGTCCTCCCGGCCCTCCACGGCCACTGCAAGAAGGACGGCCGGGCCTGGGGACTCATGGCCCTCGCAGCCTTCACAGTCCAGGGCCGGCTGCAGAGAAACAGGACGCGACAGGGGCACCCCTGGGACTTCTCCCGACCAAGCCTCTGTTCCCAGGCTGCCCCAGGGCAGGGCCTCATCTCCGCAAGGCCCCTTAAGATCTGCCAGAGGAGATGGGGGGATTAGTTCTTCCACAGGAAAGGCAAAGGCTGGAAATCAAGTTGGGGCCTCCGGGGCCATCTGTGAGACCAGGGAGAGAAGCTCCCACTTCACTGAAGGCGCCATCAGGTCTTTCTTCAATGAGGAACAGACAGAAAATGGCAGAGCTCATTTCTGGCCTTAACCAAGCTTCTCGGAACTTTCTTCTGCAGGGTGTGGACTAAAGCCAGGGCTGCGCTTCCCCCTCTCAGCCCACGTCACGGGGAGCCACACCATGCACAGACCAGCTCAGGCGCGGAGGGGAACAAGCGGAGCCAGCAGCCCCGCCTCCAGGACGGAGCCGGCGAGACCAGACGGTAGAAAGCAGAAGGGAGAGCCAGGCCCAGGAGGGCAAGAGAAGCAGAGAGGGGCTGGCCCTTGGCTCTGTGCTGGCTCCCCAGGCTCGGGGGTCAACCGAGGCAGGGAGGGCCCTGGTGCCCTCTGCTTAGCAACGGTCGTCCCCGATGCTCTGCACCCTTCCCAGTGTCACTCCTCAGGCCAGCCTGTGCCTGCCAAGGACCCCGGGGGGCTGTCGAGCCCCAAGTGCCAGCTGCAGGTGACGGGGGCAGGGTGACCCTCGGTGCCCCGGCACGGCCACTGACTCTTTCGCCTGGGCAGGGCTTGGCCTCGGCAGCCTGGTCTGCCAGCGCAGAAGGAAGTACCTGTTCCAAACCAGGCTTGTGGGCAAGGCCCTGAGGCTGGGGGCTATGAGGCGGCCTGGAGCCACACTCCGCCCTCGCCCAGCTCCCTCTGGTCCCCGGATGTCAGAGAGGGTTTGCCGGGGGGAGGAGGCCCTGTCTGGCCAAGGAAGATGGTCCCTCCGGTGGCCAGAGCGTGGGCGTGCGGGAGGGAGCCGAGGGAACACGGCCCCCGGGGTCAAACGTCTGGGCTGCCTGCCAGCAGCAGAGCTAATGTTAGAACAAAAGGAAGAGCCCACTTGGCAGAGGAAGGCGACCGGCCGGGGAGTGGGGAAAGGGGAAGCAGGCGTCCACTGGTCCTGCAGCGGGACGAGGCGGCCAGCGCCCCGGCCGGCGCCCCCACTCCGGGCAGGCACCCCTCTGGCCCAGCAGGACAAGGGGCTGAGTGCCCCTCGGCCCGCCTTCTTCTCCCTGCGCCTCTGGGCAGCGGGGCGGCCACAAGGCCACCATTATTCGGCCTTTAGAAAAGGGAGAATGAGAGAACAGGTCGGACAGAGGAGGGCAGGGGGCTGCGGCTTCACCTCTCCCCCCCAGTCTCCAAGGCCCCGGGGCTCCACCTGCGGCCTCAGCCTCCCTCCCCCACCGCCTGCTCCCAGAATCCCAAGTGGCTGCGGTGATTCATGTTCCCTTTTTTAATCTTAAACCCCCACTTCTGTGATCTTCTTAGTCTGATTAGAAAACAAAAGAGAAATGCTTTTCCATCTTTCCTGTGTTATCTTGATGGTATTTACATGAGGATGCTGTTACCCGGTTAGGCAGCTGAAGCAAAACCCCCATCAACTTCCTCTCAGCCCTGCTGGCTGTTACAGCAGTTTCTCTCACATTCTGACCCGGACGTCATCGGCAGATGGAGATTACTCGGGGGCTTTCTTGGGTGTCTCTCTGCAGGCCCAGTGGAGCCGGCACAGCCTCAGAGGCCGGCGTGTGTGCGTGAGGCCTTGGCCGGAGCAGACCGCCCCCTCGCCTGCGGCGTGACCAGGACCCTTCCTCCAGGCTCTCTGACCTGCAGTTTCCTGCCAGTAAAACAGGGGCGAGACGGTCGGGCTAGGCTCGGGGCGGGGGCAGGGGTGGCCGGTGTACCGCACACCGCTCGCCGCTCTGTGCGCGGCCTGCCACGGCCCGCCCGTCCACCTGCACAGCCAGGCCGAGCCTAGGACGTGGCCACAGCATGGGATGCTAACAAACTGACAGAGTCCTGAGGAGCCCCCTCCCCAAAGGGGCCACTCCCCACAGCTAACCTGCCCACAAGAAGCCAGGGGACAGAGGGGGCGGCAGAGGAAGACAGATGGGCCGCGGCCCAAGCCGGGGTTCTGGGCCTAGAGCGGCAGTGATGAGAAGCAGTGGGGAGGATGCAGGCACGAGAGGAGGGGCGTCCAGGAGGAAAGAAAGCAGGGACGCGCTCCCCTGGCCTGGCTTTCCTTACTTTCTGATGGGCGAGTTTCCTTCTCCAGCCTGGGCGAGGAGGCCACGCTCCTCCTGGCAGGGGCTCAGTCTCTTGAACAGCAGCTCAGCTGATCTGGAGCACATGGGCCTGGAACCAGCCCCACGGCCAACCCCGCCAGGCCCGCCCTGAAAGGGCCCGAACACAACAGGCTGCTGAGGCCAACGGCGCGGCTGCAGCAGGGCAGGGACCTCCCCGGGGCCTCCGGACAGTCCCTCACCCTGGAGGTTGCCCCTTCTGGTCAGAGCTGCTCAACGTGTTCTCAAGATTTCACCAGGAAACACTCAACAATGGCAAACAGAGCCACTCGCCTCTCTGCCCCCGCAGCAGTGAACATGCACGCAGCCAGAGGGAGGCTACAATGACCAGCGGAGCAGGAGCCCAGAAATCCTCCACCCTACAGACGGTCACATGGCCCCACCCCATGCTGGGCCCTCAGGCCCAGGAGGGGAACCAGCAGCACACAGGAGAGACAGCCCCTGCCTCGAGGAGCTCACATTCCAGTGCAGGAGTCACTCGAGAGATTGGGGGAAATGTCAGAAAGCAAGAGCGAGAGTGGACAGAAAGTGGGGTGGATGCAGGCAGAGTGGAATTCAATTTCAGGCCAAGTGGGCAGAGAAGGAAGGCAGGCAGGAAGAGTGATCCAGGCCATGCAAGCAATGCAAAGGCCCTGGGGCAGGCTCGTGTGGCGTGCCTGAGCACGGAGGCTGGCGTGGCTTCATGGCTCAGGCAGAGGGGGCAGAGAGAGCCGCAGAGAGAAGGGGGTTGCTGGGGCCAGAGTGTGTGGGCCTTGGGCCTCCTTGTTAGGGCCTGATGTTTGCTGGGATGCGGCTGAAGCCAGCAGAAGGTTCTGAGCAGCTCTGCCTGAACTCATGCCCGCTGGCTGCTGGAGGGAACAGGCTAAGGGACCCTGAAGCTGGGCACTGGGTACCACCAGAATCCAGGCAAGCACCCAGGGGGCCCCGAGCAGCGAGGTTGGGACGGTGGGAGGAAACCTGATGACGCACACAGTGACGCACAAGCGGGAAAGGAAGCAGTGAGAGGCAGCGGCCAGCGAGGTCGTGGGGCTTGAGCACTCAGGGCAGTGACCAAGTGGACATCCAGCAAACACTGCCAGGTGCCTGTTCTCGGCCTGCCCAGCAGTGCTGGGACATGGGGGGCGAGGCCGGGTCCCTGCCTTCAAGGTGGCTGTAGACAGACCCCGGACAGGGCCAAGAAGCCCAAGAGTGGAGTCGGAGAGGGAGGCCTGAGTACCAGGGGGCTAGAGAGAGGTGAGGGCCCGAGCCAGGTGGCAGTGGCCCGGCATGTACTTTGAGAGGACTGAACCTGACTGCTTCACAGCCCTTCAAGGCCAGCACTTGCAGAGCCCATAAACCGCACGTCTCCGCTCCGAGCGGTTTGCCCTGACTGCTCCCATCCTCACCTCTGTCTGCATGGCCCGAGGGAGCTTCTTGAGGGCAGAGACAAAGCCCTGACCCCCTGTGGAAGCCCTCCAGCCCAGCACCGCCAGCGCCGCCCAGTGCTCAGGCAGGCCTGGCGAGTGGACACTTCGGAGCTCCCAGGAGGGTTGGGGATCTGGCCTGCCTGCTCTCAGCCTGGTAGTGGTGTGAGATCAGAGATGGGAGCTGCAAGGGTGCTGAGTGGGGGTTCCCAGGAGGGGCCATGACCCTCAACGGTGGGCCCTGCTGACCACAGAAGCTGCAGAGTCCCCGGGGTGGACCCCTGCTGGCCCCACAGGAGTGTTTCTGCCGGGAGGGGACTTCCTGCGCCCTCTGCAGGGGAGCAGCCCTGCTTGCTGCTGAGGACTCGGGCTCCGAAGAGGCAACTTTGTTCTCGGTCTATGAAGGCCCACCAGACGGCTGCTCAGAGGGCGGCTTTGGCAGGAGCCGTGGAGGGCAGCCGGCCCACGGCCCACCATGGTGGCAGAAGACCCGCCTTCTTTCTCACCACCTCCCACTCTCGAGTCCCGAGGCAGCAGCTCTCCCTCTGCACCACCCTTCCGAGACAGCCATACCTTGGCTCTGACCCAGGTACCACCCCCTTCTGGAAACCACCTCCCCTCACCGGGTGGAAACCAGCAGGAATGTGGGTCTCGGCCCAGCGGGTGGAGGAACCACACATGGTATTATTTACCAGGTGCTGGCCTCCCCGCTTGCTCACGGAGAGAGCCAACCCGGGCGCGTCCCCATTGCGAGCACACAGCCAGGCGCTGGGCGGCTCTGGGCTCTGCCTACACCGGTGTGCGGCCCAAAGCCCCGCCTGCACGTCAGGCCTCAAAGAGGTCAAGAGCATGAGCCCACTGGGTCCTTACCAGCTCAGGGCTGAAGGTCTGGCATGTTACGGAGTCAGCTCCCTGGTTGTCGAGGCTTTTACTGAGGGTCATCACCATGGTAAGGGCCTCAGGTGCTGGGCTCTACCCCAGGTTGGGCACGAGCCATCTTCAGCAGGCGGACTTAGGCAGAAGCAACCTCCTGGGCACCTCCCAGGTGACCGGCGTCAGCAGGAACAGCTCCCCATTGGCCGCTCACCCCAGGGTGTGTCCTAGGAAATGGCCAAGGGTGGTCAACTCTCTAGAAAGACAAAAGAAAGGCAAAGAGATCAGCTCCAGGGATAACCAGGGTCCTGCGAGAGCTGCCCCACTCCCTGCTAAAGAAGGTGCATTCTGGGAGGGCCACCAAGGCCAGAACTACCTTCCCAGAGTCCCGACTCCCCTCTCGTGCTAGCCTTGGGGTGTCTCTAAAACCAGTGCCTTGGAGGACATAGCAAAAAATCTGGCTCAGCCAGGCGGAGCCTTCAAGACACACTCAGGGGCTGCATAGCTCACGATCAGCTGTCCCCAAAATGCACTCAGGCGGGTGACATCTTACCCTGAGCTGGCTTTACAGACAGCTTCAGCATATGGCCAAGGTAGGCTGAGAGTCAGACATACGCCAACCCCAAGGTCAAGACCGAAGAAGTCAGTCCTTGGGCGGCCAACTAGCAGCAAGGGACCCCCAGTCGGCAAGCCAGCTGCTGTTCTCCAGCAGCTAAGAACAGAAGCTACGGGAAGAATCAGGAGGGTCCATTTAAAGGCATCTATTTCCCATCCTTGGAAGTGCCGCCATTTCAATCATGACAGCTCTGCAACCCTGGGGGCCAGTGCAGCTTTGCGCCTCTCCCCAGGACAGGGCGAACCAAGCCCTGGCGGGACCTGTCCACAGCACCCTGAGGTCCCCACGGTGACAGCACCCGAAAAAGGGCGTCTGCCCAGCCCATCAGCGCCTCCTCCCTGAGCCACCGTCACCAGTTACCAAGCAAACACCGATGGAAAAGAGGTTTGCAAAGTCTCTTGTCACAAATGAATTCCTCTGGACCTACCTCCCCACCCCTATGTGCATAGCCCTTCAAAGAAAGTCACGTGGAGATAAGGACCCTGAAGACCACCATCAGAGAGTGAGAAACGAAGACGATAACAGCAATAAACAACTAAAACAGGCAGCCCCTCATCCGTAATTAAAAACTGCTCGAGGTAGAGAAGTGTCGGAGAATCTGCCACTCCGTGGAAGTATTAATTGCACCCTGGTATTCACTTGCCGTCCAGACTGTAAATCATATTTTCCTGTTTACTTCGATTAGACTTGACAGTGGGTGCTATTGAAATTGCTCAATTACAGGCCAGCTGGCAAGCACAGGAAAGTTACCTTCCACTGGTCTTCGAAAACAAGGTTCCTCCGAAGTACAAAGTGAGGAAGGGGGATCAATACATTGTCAAAGGACTGACTGTCCAGGGGGGCCCGGTGGGGTCTGAAGGACCCCAGGCCGCACGGTTTCACACCACGTCAATTTAGAAGCCACACGTTCTGAGCAGGAGGGAGCTGCTCCAGGAAAGAATCCCAGACCACTCCTCCAGTTCTAGCCAGAGAGCCGGGCCAGAAACGCCCGCCAGCCCCTGGACGCCTGGCCGGGGAGCAGATCCAGGCCACGCCAGGCAGGAGAGGATGGCGTGATTGGGGACTTGCCCGTCAAAGGGACCCCTGGTGCCCCTCAGTGGTGGAGGCAAGGCCTCAAGATGGCCATCATCCTTCTGGGAGCAACAGTTCTAGGGCAGCTAGTCACTGGCTCCAGGCCTTCCCCCACCTCCTTCTTTCCTAAGGAGGCGGGAGGGTCACGGTGACAGGCACAGGCCCGGCCCAAGCCCAGTGAGCTGCAGTCCCAGCTCCTGAAAGGCATCATTTCAGTGACTTTGCTAAGCAACATCTCCCGGAGCCCAGTCCCAGATCCGGGGCCTTTGCGGGGGTGCCCAGCACACCCCACTGACACCCCTCCCATGGAGGAGCCTGCCGGGGAAGCCTGCAGGGACCTCCTCGCAGAAATGGACACCCAACCACCTGTCGTCTCACTTTTTAAGGGAATTTCCATCACAAAATCAAAATCCCATCAAGTGGGGACTGGCTATCTAGGAGCCCATCCCTCTGGACAAGCAGTAGGTACCCGGAAGAGGTGGACTATGGAAGCCATTTGCCCAGCCTCGGGGGTGCAGCTCCTGCATTGGGCACCCAGCACGTAGCTGCACCTCCATCCCCATGGAGCCCCCACAAGAGACCAGGCTTGCAGGGGTAGTATGAAGGGTAAAGAGCAGCTGAGATGGGCGTCAGCAAACAGGCTGGCACTGAAAGGAGGGAGGAGGCCTGGCACAGTCCCATTGGCAGGTTGTGGACGGAGGGCTAGGACAGGGTCCGCAGCACCAGGGCAGACAGACGAGAGAAGGCCCGAAGGTCCAAGTATCTTCTTGGACTGTATTTGCAGAAATAACAGGTGACACAGGTGACATGTCCCCCTTTTAAGAGCCTCAGTGCCAGGCCCTGTCCCACCGGTCCCCAGGGCCTCCCTGCCCGTGGACACTGTGATCCTGTCTTACAGAGAAGCAAACTGAGGCCCAGGTCCAAGGTCGCGTAGTTGTGACGGGTGACAGAGGGCCAAAGCTACATCCGCAAACTCCAGCTGCGACCCTCCCACACCCTGTACCTTTCAGCATAAAGATCCCGTAAGCCCTAAATTTCCCAGTTCAACGGGCCCAACGCAAAGTCACAGACGCAAGGTTTGCAACACACCCTTCTCTCCACAGCTCATCCTTGGGTCCCCAAACACCAACCCCCTGGAGCTTCATGCACCAGCGTCCCCCTGCAGGCGGGGAGCGGGTAGAGGAGAGAATGTCTGGGAGCCGGGGTGGACATTCAGTACCGCTTTCCAGAGGGAGCCTCGCAGATGCACAGTTGCCGGGCAGAAGGCACAGTGCCCCAGGAAAGTCAGGGTGCAGAGGCCGGGGAGAGTCCTTGCTAGCAGCGCCTTGCTAACAGCAGGGTACGTGCCCATTCCCCCTGTCCCCTGGGCTTCTGCCCTCCCACTCAAGGCCATCTCCAGGGGCTCACAGACAGCCACGCCCGCCCCAGAGCAGCTTGGGTACGGGACTGTCAGTCACCCTGTGGTCTCGGCACAGAGCCGGCCCATGAGGAACCTGACCGACGCCAGTCTGCTGGGCCAGCTGCAAAACCGGGAAAGCGCTGGACTACATGTCCACAAGCTGCCATCCTGTCCCAGGTGAGCCCCATCATCTCCCTGAGCCACCTCCTCCTTCGCAATATGCCCGATGCGATCCGTGCCAGGCCCTCCTGGATGGAAGGCTAAGGAGGGCAGGCTCTGCAGGCGAGGGCGCCTTACAGGAAGACCCTAGAGGCACTCAAGTCCTCAGGGGAGCGCCCTGGCCACCTGGCCCAGCAGAGCCCCTTTTAGAGGCTCACAAAGATCTGGTCTTCACGGCCACAGCAGGAGGGCCGGGTGCCAGAGAATCAAATGGGGGTAGGGGAGCAAATGCACTCCAGACTCACGCGCACTAGGGGTTCCATTGGCACGTGACAGGCAAGGAAACTGAGGCTTAGAGAGACAGAATGACCTGGCTGAAGCTGGCACGTGGCTACACTCAGGCTCTCTTGCTACAGAATGAAGCAGCTGCTGACTCAGGGAGGGCGTGCTCGTCCGTCACCGGCGAGCAGAGCATTCCCTCCCTCCCTCGTGGCCATCAGAGGCCACTCCTGGGGTCTGCCGGCAGGGACCCACGCCAGGGGCTGATCAAAGTGGCCCAGGTCTCCCTTGTGAGAGTCTCTTGATGGAGGGGAAAAAAGAAAACTGTCAAATGAGCTGCTGAACCCAATCGGGACTCTGTTCTCCGGGACTTGACACCATCACCCGGGTGCGTTGTAGGGATTTTCTGTTTTTTTAAGCAAATAACATTTTGTGAGGAGGGGGAGAAACGACATTATTCAAGGACAAGAAAGTGCTGAGATCCGGAGCCAAAACAAATCTGAACAGGGGAATGAGACAGCTCGTGTTGTTTCTGGAAACTGCAGCCAGCTGCAGGCCCTACTTGTCAAGAGTCCATTTATCAATGAAAAATAACTGACAGACCAGTTTCCCATAAGCACCCCGTAATTCTTGCTACTGTTCATGTCGTTTTAGCCCAGCAAACACCAGGAGAGATCAGTGTGTTATGCGCTCGGATTTGCTGAGCCAACGCCAAAGGGAGAGAAGGGCAGGAGGGCGGAGGGAGGGACGGGGGAGGGGAGGGGCAGCCCTGAGTGAGCACAGGCAGAGCTGCAGGTGACCCTGGCGAGCAGGACGGAGACGGGCGCCCACAGCAGCCCAGGAAATGTAAGCTGCTTAGCCTAAGACGACCACGCCCCGCTCTTCAGTCAGACCCACTGACAAGTACCGTGGACCCCAAAGACACGAGAAGTGAAAAAATATTTTTACCAAAACAAACATGGCCGCACAAAAGGCAGTGTGGCCTGCGTCAGGACAGCAGGTCTGGGGACAGAACTCTGGCACTGGCTCTGCCCCAGCGGCTCCGTCCACTTGGCCAGGTCACGTCCCCTCCCTGGCCTGTCCCCCACCTGCCAGAGGGAGGCTGGGCCTGGCAGGCTGTCTCCGAGCAGAGAGCGCATGCGTGCAGCCATGGGCTGCTGCAAGGCTTTAGACAGGGCTACCCACCTCTCGAGCCTCGGTCTCCTCACCTGGCACGTGCCAAAAGGAACCTCCTCACAGAGGACTTATGAGCTGTGAGAAAGAACAAGAAGTTCAGGTGAGCCACATGTGGCCCGCCCTCTGCGTGCTGCTCAGGCCTGATCTACAGCGTTCAAGGTCCAGGAAACTGGACAACAACAAAGGTCAAGTCCACACCCACCACCATCTGGGGCCCAGGTGATGACCTCCTGAAAAGCCTTTCAGGGAGCAGGAGGCCACCCTGACACTGAGCAGCTTGCAACCTCTCAGGCAGGTTAACCTGGGCACAGGGCGGAGAGGATGAGAGCCAGCCCCCTCTCCTGCACATCCGGGGTGCAGACGGGATACATGCATAAGTGCACTTCCAAGCTCAACCCCTTGCACGCAGCACCCCTGGTGTCCCACAGCGACACTGGGAGTCCATTCAGGCCTTCCCTGCAGGGCCGGCAAGTGGTCACTCGCCAGCCCTCACCCCTTCAGCTCCTCCTCCTGCACCAACAATCTCCTCTTCCTTCCCAAGTGCTTATGAACGGGC